AGAGGAGAGGAGGAAAGAGAGGAGAGGAAAAAGAGAGAGAGGAAGGAAAGAGGAGAGAGGAAAGAGACAGAGAGAGAGAGAGGAGGAAAGAGAGAGAAGAGGAGAGGAAGAAAGAGAAAGGAAAGAGAGAGGAGAGGAAAGAGAGAGGATAACAGAGTTGGAAGGAACCTTGGAGGTCCTCTAGTCCAGCCCCCTGCTTAATCAAGGAGGAGACCCATTCCACCAACTTTTATTTTTACAGCAGGAAATCCAGTCCTGGCTGGAGAGAACGGGAGAGAACGTCTACTTGACAGAGACTACAGACTAGCCGAGCCAGAGGAAGCTGCCTCCGGAGCGCGAAGGGAAGGACACAGCCCCCTCCAGAGGGAGGAGGGACGGAATGGCGCGCCTGGAAGAGGAATTCTAGCGCACCTCGGCAGGCATGTGCATCAGCAGGACAGCGGCAATGGGAGCCTGGGCCTGGCAATATCCTTCCTCTGGCCGATACAGAGTGTAAGCTTTCAGGACCCGGAATAAATCTTGTTGCCTAGAGAGGACAAATTGGAAAAAAAAAAAAAGCAAATTGTTGAAGGAAAATGAGGGAATATCAGACATTTACAAGTTGAGTTCAGACTGTACGCCGGGAAGTTTGTGCTGAAGATTATAAGGCCTTGGCAATAAGGCCACTCTTGGGAGGCTGCATCCAGTTTGGGTCACCGTGATGTTAAAAAAAAGAAAAAAGAGCTGAGCCTCTAGCACAGGAGTTCCCCAAAACTTGGCCGCTTTAAGACTTGTTGGACTTCAACTCCCAGGATTCTCCAGCCAGCACAGCTGACTCTCTTGTAATCCCTTCCTCTGCAATCTCTCTCCACTTTATAGGAGATTAAGAGAGAGAAAAAAGCAGGCCTGGCTGGCTGGAGAATTCTGGGAATTGAAGTCCACCGGTCTTAAAAGTTGCTAAGTTTTGGAGACCTCTGCTCTAGAAAAAGTGCAGAGAAGAGCAAGCAAGATGATGAGGGGACTGGAGGCTAAAACCTATGATGGATGGTGGCAGGAACTGGGCCTGGCTAGTTTGATGAAAAGAAGGATATAGGGGGGAGAGGATAGCGGTCTTCCAGTATCTGAGGGCCTGCCCCAAAGAAGAGGGAGTCAAATTATTTTGCAAAGCACCTGAAGGCAAAAGAAGCAACGGGTGGAAACTAATCAAGGAGAGAAGCAACCTAGAACTAAGGAGGCAGAGTCCTCACGGTTAGAACAATTGATCAGTGGAAGGGGTTGCCTCCAGAAGCTGTGAATGCTCCAACCCTGGAGATAAGGTCTTCTGCCTTGGGCAGGGGTTGGACTAAGAAGACCTCCAAAGTCCCTCCCAACTCTGTTATTTTGTTAAGCAACAATTTGAACCAAGACGCGAGGAACACAACTGCACACCTTCGACGTGGTGCCGCCGGTCTTGGGAAGGAGATTAGGGACCGCAGACCGGTTGGCCAGCCAGGTGTTTGCATAAGCTGCCTTCTAAATCCTTGGCCTTGCCAGTTCCAGGTCTGGATTATAAACTGGGCAATGCCAACGCCCTTTTATCTGTCTTGAATCGGCCCCATCGAGAGAGGGAAGGAGGGAGGGGAAAAGGAAGGAAGGGAAGGGAAAGAAAGGAGGAAAGGGAAGGAAGAGAAGACGGAAGGAGAACAGGAGGGAGGGAGGAAAAAAGGAGGGAGGGAGGGAGAAAGGAAGAAGAGAAGGGGGGGAAGAAAGAAGGAAGGAGATGAGAATGAGAATGGGAATGGGAGGAAGGAGAAAAGAAGGGAGGAAAGGGAAGGAAGAGAGGAAGGAAGGAGGTGGGAGGGACGGAGGAAAGGAGGAGGGAAGGAAGGAAAGAAGGGAGAGAGGGAGATGGGAATGGGAGGGAGGGGGAAAGAAGGAAGGAAAGGAGGAAAGAGAGGAAGGAAGGAGATGGGAGGGAGGGAGGAAGGAAGAGAGGGAGGGAGGAAGGAGGTAGGGAAGGAGGTGCGGATGGGAGGGAGGGGGAAAGAAGGAAGGAAGGAAGGAAGGAAGGAAGGAAGGAAGGAAGGAAGGAAGGAAGGAAGGAAGGAAGGAAGGAAGGAAGGAAGAAAAGGAGACAGCTCTCTTTGCCACATCATGCCGGTCTCATTGGCAGCCTTAACAGCTGCCTGCCACACAGTTCACGGTCCAGCCACAGCCCCCGTGGTCTCAGGAAACAGGCCACGAAGCGAGAGTGGAAAGGACCCAGAAAGGCAGAGGGGTGGGCAGGGCCTCTTACCCGTGGCCTCCCCGCGCAGCAAACATTTCGTGGAAGGGAAACTGGCGGTGGAGGTCTCGCTCAATCACATCCAGCCATTTGGGCTCTCCCACAGCCACGTCCAGCTCCTGTAAACCCAAAAGAAGTGCTTCCTTTACCTGCTTATGAAATGTATGGGCTGCCCTGCTCACTTTCAAGTGACTCTGGGAGGCCTGCCAGGCCATCAATAACAGTACGAAAGAATTAGAAGATTTACTAAAAAAACATTAGGCATGGGAAGGAAAACATTAACAGCAAAGTAAGTAAAACAATCCTGCAATTTTCGGGCGGGAAAATACAGAACAGAACACAGAAGAGAACAGAACAAAACAAACAATTGGAATGGAATGGAATGGAATAAGAATAGAATGGAATAAGAATAAAATAAGAATGGAATGGAATAGAAATAGGAAAGAACAGAACAGAATTATGAATAGAATTATGAAAAAATAGAAAGAAGAAAGAATAGAACAGAAATATGAAAGAATAGAATAACAGAACAGAACAGGAATAAACTTTATTGTCAGGCGGTCCTCAACTTACAACCACAACTGAGCCCAAGATTTCTGTTATTAAGTGAGGCATTTAAGTGAGTTTTGCCCTGTTTTACAACCTTTCTTGCCACATTTGTTAAGTGAACTACTGCAGTCAATACGTTACGAATCCCCCTGGGACACCACAACCGTCGTAAAGGCGAGTCAGTTGTGAAGCGTCCGAATTTCTGTCCAGGGTCAGAAGGGTGAAAAAAAAAAAAAAGAAAAAAGGAACGGCCTGGCGTCACTTTGTCCCGTGCCATTGTAACGTTTGAATAGTCACTCAGGGGAACCGTTGTAAATCGAGGACCACCTGTCCAACTTCCCCGCCCCCCCGCCTTCCTTCGCCGTTGCTGAAGCGTCTTACATCAAACTTGCCGGCGTTCTGTTCCAGCTTGACTTTGCCCCCCGAAAGGTACTGCCACGCCCGGCCACGCAGGGAAGGTGGGATGCCCTTCTGGCACCTCAGCCGGATCTGAAAAGGGGAGGAGGAGAGGAGGGGCCACGGATGAGACGCAAGGCTGGAACGCGCAAATGTCCCCCCCCCCCCCAAAAAATATCAACCCCCCCCTTTTTTTTAAAGGTAAAACCCCGAGGGGTGTTCCGCTTGGGACAACCCAATGTGTGGATTTATTAAATTTATACGCCGGGTTACTTCACTCTCGACCACTCTGCCCTCGCGATGGAGAACGGGGGTGTCCGTAAGTCTCGGCAACGTTGAGACTTATGGACTTCGATTCCCAGAATTCCCCAGCCAGCTGGGGGGATCCTGGGACTTGCAAGGCCACAAAATCAGAGCAAGGATGAAGACGCCGAGAAGCGATTCGGGCGCAAAAGGGGAGAGAGAGGAAGGGAGGGAGGAAGCTGGCAGCTGTGGGACACGTCGCTGTTGTTGACTTGCCTTTTTGTGCTTTTTGGCCATCCACTTGTCCCAGTTGTTGAGCATGTCCAGCCATTTTGATTCCCTCTGCCTCAGCACGTCCAGCGGCACCTCCGCCAGCCTGTGGCACAACGGACAAAAAAAGTTACGCCTTGGATGGACAGCAAGGACTAAGCCAGGATATAGTTAGAACATAGTTTGTTGAAAATGTTCCACGCTGGCTCAGGAATTCTGGGAGTTGGAAGTCCACAAGTCAGAAAGGGACCATTGTTCAACACCTCTCTTCTAAATATACCAAGGTTTTAAGAAAGAAAAGGAAAAAAAAGGATTTTATTCCGCTAGTTATTGCTGACTTTTGGGGGGCACTGCTCATCCCCGTTTCAAGGCCATTCAACCAGCACGGTCGGAAAACATTTCCACAGTTGTGTGGCCAGCGTGATATCACAGAACGCTGTTCCCTTCCCACCGAAATGGTACCTATTTATCTACTCGCATTTGCACGCTTTCGAACTGCAGGAGCTGTGGCGCGGGGCCTCGAACCGTTCCAGCCAACGAGCCCAGAGCATCATATTAAATGCACCTAATCTTGAGCATCAAACTAGCAGTTAGCTTACATGCCCGCCTCTGTTCACACATACCAGGACTAAGACTGCAGCAGGTAACTCAGGGGAGCGAATTTGATTTTCTTAAGCTCAAGGTCACACACGTGTGCGCGCACACACCCCTAGGATTTATCAAATCATCACACCAAGTCACACACAGACAACTCTCTCACAGCAAGGCTGCCTTCAAACAGAACCAGCGCCAGCTCCACCGTGGTTGTTCCCCCCACCACCACTTCCCAAATACCACCAAAAAAGGAGATCTGAAAGCCAAGAATGCTGCCAAACCAGACCGAAGTAAGTGCGGGGCAGCCAGGGGTGTGCATTCCACAGTTTTTTTTTTTTGCGTTCGGTCCATTCTGATCAAGGGCGCGGCCGGGGTTAGGATGTAGCTTTCCAGTTCAGGGGCTCAGAGGAGTTCCTGGAAAAGCTACAGTACAAATCGAAACTGATACTCGATCGGTAAACAAGAGAGTTTTCTCCGGCTCAAACCTTGCCCGGGTTTGAGAGCCGGTTTTGGAAGTTCGGGGCTTGCAAAACGCCGGTTTGGTTTTGCCCCGCTGGTGGAATCACCCTTCCTGGGAATTCCTGCTGATGGAAAACGGACGGCGAGGTCTGAGTCATCTCCTCACCCCACCCAAAACCTCAGAGCCATCTGAAGTCAAAATGGAGAAGTTACACAGGATGCTTGAAGCAGCGGAGTGACGATTCAGCTCTTTAAAAAAAACAAAACAAAAACGGCAGCCTTGTTGTTGGACCGCCAAGTCCCTGGCCAGAGTGGCCCAAAGTGAGGGTTTCTGGGAGACGTAGTCCATCAACATGCAAAGTAAGAGCCAAATTGGTTACCACTACTGGAGGGGATTCGGTCAATGGCTCCGTCTGGTTGGGCTGTGGCGGAAGCACAGATGCAGCAGGACAGCCCAGAGGCTTCCGGTGGGGGAACTGCCTGCTGCACCTGATCCAAACCACGTAGGGCAGAGAACAGGCAGGAGCAGAGGCCAGCCAGATTACTCACGAGGAGGCAGCCTCGCCTCTCTTGATCTGCTGCACCCGAAGCTGGCTATTTAGCACAGCAGACAGATGGAGGCGATGCTGGGCACATGTTTGTTTCCTGGCTGTGTGTTGTTCCGGCTGTTGTGACTCTTGCCTTGTTTTGGATTGACACCTTGACTTGGATCATGCCTCGGGAAACCACTTTTGTACTGTGGATTTAATTTTGCCTGGTGGGTTTCTCAAGACGGGGAAGCTTTCGAGTGCCTTGTGTAGACTCCTTGGCCGTTGCTCTGGGGACTAGCATCGGTCTGCTGGTGGCTGGACTTATGTGGGACAGTTCTGGGGGGGTTGGTGAAGGGAGTGGCTGGGAGAATATTAATAAACCCACTAAACTAGTGGTTGCCAACCAGTGGGCCAGGGACCATTGGTGGTCTGCAAGAAAATTTTGGTGGTCTGCAGAGAAATGTCACCCCACCAAAGCAATTAATCCAATTAATTGTGCGAGAACACAAGGCTTGCGTTGCTAGCATTGTGAACAACAGGAGGTAGTGAGGGGAGGGGGGAAAGGGCAGAGGGGGGGAACTTGCCCCACTCACCCCACACGCCTGGCCTGGCCACCAGGCTGCTTCTTTCCTCTTCTTTCTTCTTCTGCTTCTGGCTGCACTCAAGGAAAGCAGCCAAAGTCTTTCTTTCTCTCCCCCAAACTCCACCAGAAATGAGTCTTTGGGACCCTGCAAGACCTCCTGCTCCAAGAGGCTGCGCCAGCGCAACAAGTCTCACAAGACTCATTTCTGGCGGAGTTTGGGGGAGAGAAAGAAAGACTTCTGCTGCTTCTGCTGCTTTCCTTGCATGAAGCCAAAAGTCTCTCTTTCTCTCTCTCTCTCTCCCTGCGATCCCAAATAAAGAACGATCAATCGACAGGAAAACGGGGTGGGGGATTTTCCCAGGGTCTCTGGTTGGCAGGATTTAAAATGATGAGTTTGGTGGTCCCTGAGGTCCAAAAGGTTGGCGACCCCTGCACTAAACCACAGTCACGTGTCTGAGTGGGAGAGCACAGTACGTGGCGAAGACATAATCAGTTTGGTGGCAAATTTGCTTAGAGGAAGGAGGCAGGGGAAAAGATCAAAGTTGCTTTCTCCAGAAAACCCCTGCCAAATTGCCGTTAAACGCGATGAAACCCTAGCCAAGAAAGAAAGAAAGAAAGAAAGAAAGAAAGAAAGAAAGAAAGAAAGAAAAATCAATCGATACCCCTGGATAGAAGCAAGACAAAAGACATTCTGGGACTTGGAGAGCCCCCAAGAAGCAGCTTAATTTCCCACTGAACCGATGACGCAGCAGGTTCAACTCCGGTGGGTCCCTCAGTTTTCCCTCCTCTGCTTGGCCGCGTTCCCATCCTGGCTGGCTGGCAGGAGGCGCTTAGAAAGGCCAGATCTCCTTGGCTCGATGGCCGTGGCCGGCTCGCATTTCATGGTGCCCCGGTGGGCAAACAAGGTTGAAGTTTTGCAGGGATTATTGAAGGGAAGAAGGGAATCTCCCACATAGCGACGGTAAGCCTCAACTTGCTCAGCTACGCTTGGGCTCCGTGGCGTGGCCTTGCCATCTGGGGCACCATGAATTTAGCCTCCCGAGAGTTGTGTTTAGCCAAACGTGCCCCATTCTACTGGGGAATTACCAGGCTGCTGCCAAAATCGCAGGTAATAATCCTTGACTTGCAACAGTTGGTTTAGGGACCGTTTCGAAGCTACGACGGCGCTGAAAAAAAGGGACTTATGACCGTTTTTCACACTTAACGAGTGTTGTAGCAATCCCCGTGGTCATGTGATTTATAGTCAGACACTGGCTCATATTTACGACGGTTGCAGTGTCCCCCTGACAAGCAAAGTCCACAGGGAAGCCGGGTTCGCTTAACAACCATGGGACTAATGTAAGAACTGCAGTTATTTGCTTAACAGGAATTGTGCTGTTGTGCCTAGAGGTGGTGCTCTCACCTCACAATGAGGCGGCTGTGAGTTTGATCCTAGGTAGAGGCGGGTATTTCTCTCTCTGGGCGCACTGAGAGAATATATATCTGCTGAACAAAACTCCGCCTCGGTGACAGGAAGGGCATCCAGCCATTAAAACACTCTGCTAGCTCCATTCAGTTGACCAGTCTCCACCCCGCAAGGGATTAGAGGGTCGTTAAATGAAGACGAGGAGTGATTCACTTCACAAACGTGGAGAGAGAAGTCGTAAAATGGAGCAAACTCACTTAACAACATAGATCTTGGTCTCGATGGTGGCTGTTGAGAACTGCCTGCACTTCACAGGGGTTTGGCCTTTCGTACTTGTGCATTTGCCGAGTTCAATAAACTCCCAGGCCTCTTCCCACTCTATTATGCTATGTTTTAATATTAAGAGACCTCCAGCGCCACAATTGTAGGATTAAGGCCAAGCCAGCATGCGCAGAGTCCCAGAGATTAAGCCCTAATCTAAAATGTTAACGGGTTTTTTTTTGCCTGCCGGGAATTATGAATTGGCTCTTCTACAAAACTTCAGCATTCAAGCTTGTGACACGCTAATCTTTGTTCTGTCTCTTATGATCTGCTGGACCAGCCGCATAGCCGATTCTTTGTTTTGATTTTTATTTTTTAAAAAAGAAGGGAAATGAAGACATCAAGTCACACGGCGAATTTCTCTTTCAGATTAAATGTTCAGAGTTGAAAAGCGGAGAGTCCTTCCCCTATTTTTAAAGGGGATCTTCCTTGCAACCAAACCGTAATCCCATTAATAGATCCTGTCCTCTTGAACCTTATTTCAAGAGGCAGATGGGTGCCCTGATTTTACGTTTTAAGCCTCTTGTTCACCGGCCCTTTCACGTAGGCAACTAATGGCTCGACGGTCATAATCCTCCTTTAAAAGGTTGTGTGTGTGTGATTGTTTACCGCCCCGCCGGCTGTCAATAAGGAACCCAGGAAAAGAGGCTGATGATAGATCCCGTTTCTAAAAAAACAACAAAACACATTATTTACATGAGAAACTATGCAAGCGCTGACAAAGCTCGCGGGAAGGATCCCAGGGTAACAATTAAAATGACAGGTGCCCAGCTAGGTGAGGTCCCACCTTGCTCCGTCTGCCTCCAGGCCCAGTAAGGAGGGGTGTCCCTAAAACCGGGGCCTGCATCTATCATAAACAAACCATTCCCTGAGTCATTTGACTTGACCTGGATATTTTGCGAGAAACAGATTTTTGTTATGACCGGGGCAGAGTTTTGCTTCCTGATTCTCAGATCCGTTTTTAAGAAGAACAATGATAAACTCCTAACCGTTTTGCTAGAGGCGCCCTTTGAAGAGAGGAATTAGAAACGAGGCGTGGCTGGCTGGGGATAACCGGCTGCAAAATGGACTCGTAGAATCCTAGGGCTGGGAGGGGAGCTTGGAGGTCCTCTAGTCTAGCCCCCTGCTTAAGCAGGAGATCCTATAATCGTTCCGGTCTTCTCTTGAAAACCTCCAGTGATGGAGCAACCCACAGCTTATGGTGGCAAGCCGTT